AAGAAGGCCTCTGGACCAACATAATTGGATTATTGTTTATTCGCTGACCTGGGCTAACGACGAACGACTTTAAGGAGAGCAATTGTTAGTGAGTCTGTTCCATCTGACTTCTTTATTTTTGTGTACCCAACCAAGCGTAATTATTTTTATTTCTTACACACACACTCCTGGTAAACCACTACAGTGTCACATGGCAGGTTCGTTCCTGTCACTGAGTCCCTTCTTGTTGCGCAAGCAAAATGTGACAATGATTTCTTTGTCACACACTCCTGGTAAACCACTACAGTGTCACATGGCAGGTTCGTTCCTGTCACTGAGTCCCTTCTGGTTGCGCAAGCAAAAGGGGTGTGACAATGCTCTCTAAGTTCTCAGCGCCGGGCAGTATGCTTGGCAGCGCGAGGATTCATGCAAGAACTGGAGGATAGATGGATACGTCGTATGAACGGCTTTTTAGGGGGTGTTCTTTCATGCACAAGCCACCCAAAACAAGAGACCGTTGTTGCTACCCGAATATTTTCAATATTCTCAGCATGTCCCCATCGTGTATTAAAGGCGTCGATTACATAAACTTGCCAACCACACTTTGTTCAAGCAAGGTCTACGCAAACGTCGCGGGCTACGACGCGCTGCGGAGAACAGTTCAAGAATTTTCGGACGCTTTTCGTGGTTCAAGGATTTTGGGCGGATAAAACCAACCGAAAACGCTCCTGCACCAAGTGTAGACAACTTGACTGATGTGTTCACAAGTCAACCCGATTTGGACCCATGTGGTGTCTGAAGACCGATGCGAGTGATGAGAGCTTATGTGCGCATGGTTATTCAGAGGACGACAGATGTTTCTTCAGCCGATTTTTGCGACGGAGTGATAAGAGTGCGCTTAGAGAGATTCAGATATATAACTCAATTTTGGTATCTAGTTTTATAGTGCCTTTTGGCCAATACTCGCTGTATACGAAAAATGCGTTTGCTGAATCTCATCCGAACAACACATAGACATACTTTACGTCATCCAAAGAAAAACCGGTTCGGTGGCTCCCCATTCTTTTTCTGGATTTGACAGCAATGACTCGGCGACTGGTGATCCTTAATCTTACTTTTCTGTTAGGTTGACGTAGTAGACCTCAGTTAAGCTACGATGTTTATCACTTATCTGGGAAGCCGTTGCTTGTCCGGTTTCATACTGACTGAGGGATTTGTGGGGGTGCGGACTGCACAAAAGAGGATAATGTCAAAAAGAATGGGAAATATCCGATGAAATTGTAATGAAAGTTTTCTTTCCCAACTTGTTTGGAACAACGGGCATGAAGTCCGACTAGTTCAACCACATAGCCAGCTGGCTTGAACTAAAGCTGAAAACCATTGCTGGCCGTGAGTAATTAGGTTATTGGCCGGAGTCACGACGAGCAAAAGTGGCGATGGTGATGGGGTGATTCAAATTAGGAGCATATGGCGAGTTTTGTCTCAAAAATGTGATTTAACCTGAAACTAAGCAGGCTCACTGGTTGCACTGTTGCACGGAAGTCAGGTGCAGGGGGTAGGTTGAATGGGGGCAAGGTGCTAATACATATGGCGACCCGAACACCGTATACGGCTTTGAACTTGCGCAGGAGGCAAGTCGAATTTACAGCAGAAAAACCAGGCTAGCAATATCTGGGCGAAAATTCATTGGATAAGGAAGAGCTCATCCCAGAGACGGGGCCGGGTGAAAAATTTGTTCGTAGTTGTGACTACAGCCTTGAGCGGGCGATGGGTGGCGGCCGAGATTCTGGAGAAATAGTTGCGAGAATGCCATCTCACTGGGTATGACAGTGCATGTTTCGGTTGATGGACAGCCCCGTAACGGTCTTCAAGGTGCCGCGATTGGAGGAGGGATACGCAGTTCCGTGACAGCTGGTTTTTGGTGAGACTGAGATTGACACAGAGTCATGCAGACGTAGGCTCACGGATAATTTCTCTTTTGTTAGAGGACTGTGTGAGTGTAGACCGGACACCAGCCGGTTTGAACGATTAACAGTTCTACGGGGCGTTTGGGCAATTGCAGTAGATGTTTGAAGCTTGGGAAGAGGGGCGATGAGAAAGAAATAGAATGAAAGCAGTAGCGTGTGCCGAGGGTCAGGAGGCATAGGATACAACGGCGTCAATAGAGAAAAATCTGAATGGGGATGACAGTAAGCTAGATGGACCCGGGAACGGTGAATACGTTCGAGTCACTGCTGTCAACTCCAGAAAACGAATGGTGCATAGCAAATAACAGCCAGGAGTGCTAGATGTGACTGCTTTAATCAGAAAATGATAAGCTATTAGCATTTTGTGCGTATGATCGCTCTAGATGACAAGTGGGAAGAACGTGTGTGCTATGTTTGGATGATGAAGTGAACTTGGGGTGGTGCGACCTAACTGAGATGAAAGTGGCAACTCCTTGCACGTCGACATTATCCGTGATCCTCACACAGTCCCCTCAGGATACCCCATGCATAAACGTTTTTTTTATTTTTTTTAGAACAAACGGAAGGACGGCTGTCATTCGCTTGTATTTCTTTGTGTTGTTAGACAAGTGACAACCGGAACAAGGCCAACCCAGCTACAGACAAGCAGCAACGATGCTCTTTTTTGGTTTCCCTGAATTAAAGGCCAGGCTCAGAGCCACCGGCGATGAACGATACACTCGTGCTACTGGAGGGGCGGCGGATGTACGAAAGCACCATGGTGCAGGGAGACCCGCCATGCAGGGCGTACCCGTCCACCACAAGAGATTTCCATCCCTCGTGCATGCTACGCGATTGCAAAGTGGAAGACCATCCAAGCAGTTAAATCCGGTCAAGCAAAGCACCAGACATTAAACAGAGCTAACAGAGTTACTCAGGAATGGGACCAGGCTTGAGGAACCCGGAATAATTTGGCTGGGTAAAAAGGCTTAAGGCCGGAGGAAGGAAATACAACCAGGTCAACAAAGACGGGCCTGACGACAATTACGGTGGCAGGCGCTAGACGTTCTCTGCAACACAACTACGCTTCAGAGAGTGGAAGGTGTAGTCTCAGGAAGCGCAGCATAAGAGATAGATAAAGTCGTATGTTATAGAGACGAACACTTGGGAGGATGGTTGTCGCACTTGTGGATTAATGCTAAGGGTTTCTGACTGGTGAGTGCAAATGCTAAGACCTAGTAAAAGGACAGTCAGGGTGAGCGCGCAGAATAGAAGTCTTAGGGCCCTGTTTCGGAAAGTGTCCAGTGTGAGCTGAGGCGCGAAAAGGCGCTCAGCTCCCTCAATAGAAAGGTAAGAATCGATGGCCTTTCGAAAGCCTACGTGAGATGAGATAGTACGGATGTGGGAGGGGAGCTCGTTCCATAGTCTGGAATACAGGCAAAGGAAATAGTTTTGCCTAAAGACAGTTCGACGTGTCGACAATAGGAGTAATCATCCGGAGTTGCGGATATTATAGGGAGTACAGGAAGAAAATTTAGGGCATCAGTCAGCTATGTAAGCTCCCCGGTAGATTAGTCTATACAGAAGACCTAGATTCAACCTG